CAACGGCGGGGGTCCCAAAGGCGAGAACGTCTGCCTCTGCAAGCACGGCAAGTGCGACCAGAAGACGGGCAAATGCACCTGCGAGCCCAACTGGTGGGGACCCCAGTGCTCCAGCTCCTGCTATTGCAGCCACAACTCCCAGTGCGACCAGCAGACGGGCAACTGCCTGTGCCAGCCCGTCTGGTGGGGCCGCGGTTGCAACAACCAGTGCTCCTGCAACAACTCGCCCTGCGAGCAGTTCACGGGGCGCTGCCAGTGCCGGGAGCGGACGTTCGGGCCCCGCTGTGACCGTTACTGCCAGTGCTACAAGGGCAAGTGCAACCGCGGCTGGGGGCAGAACTGGCTCCCGACGGAGCGATGCTCAGCCACCCGGGGACCGGGGGCAGCTGTGGCTTTCTGCCACCAGGAGGGGAGGGCAGGGATGGGCTGAGCCCGCCAGCATGGCCACGGGACCAGAGGGAGCCCACGAGACCCCTTCACCATGCCCCCAGGCAGTGTTGGGTGCTCGTGGTGTGGCTCGGCTCTCAAGCTGGGATGCTTTCCTGCAGGCTCTTGTGCCCAAATTTGGGTCTGGGGCTTTGCAGCATCAGAAGGGGGCTGACAACGCACAGCCCCGTCTCCCTGCCCGCAGGCGGGAGGGCCGGGGGGGATGCCGGAGGTCCCCAGGAGCCAGGGGTGCTCCAGCCACCTGCCCTCATCCCTTCCCCAGGTGTGAAACCAAGTGCCGGAACGGGACGTACGGGGAGAACTGCGCCTTTGTCTGCAGTGACTGCGTCAATGGCCAATGCCACTTCGAGACCGGCCGGTGCCTCTGCCGCCCCGGCTCCCACGGCACTTAGTAAGTGAGCCACGGTGGGCACGCTTCGGGGTGCACCCTGGGGCACGGGTGATGATGGGGCACCTCCCGCCCCATGGGGTCCTACGTGGTCCCCAGCCGAGAGGTGTCCTGTGGTGGAAGAGCTGACGAGCAATAATTCAGATGATTTTTGGAGCAGAAGGGAAAGGACACACTCGCAGAGCCATTAGCAGCAAGGTAACGCTGCACGAGAGGGATTTTGCTTTAGGAAATGCCTGTTTGGCAAAAACAAATGCTGTCGACAAAACGGTGGTTTGTTGTTTGGGTTTTGTTTTTTTTTTTTAAGTCCAGGCTGGAATTTCTAGCCGAAATGGGAGAGAAAAACCACATCCCAGAATAGCAAATAGCCTCACGGGCATGGCATCCGCGGGCTGCTCCTGCTGCAAGCTGCGGCTCCGGCCGGGGTCTTCCTCACCCCTGGGAAGAGCCCACCCAATTCCTTCCCCATTCCTTCTGCCCAAGGAAGGGGCATAAGGGACGGCAATCCCCTGGTGGCTTTTTCCCCATGTGGGACTGAAATGCTGTTTGAAAAGACAAGGAAAGGTTTTCCGGCCTGGCCAGGGCATGCAAACCAGCTCCCCCACGTCCTGCTTGTTGCTTGGATTTTCCCGGGAATTAGCCATGAGGCTGGCGGCGGCAGCAAGGATTCGGGACCAGCATCCCGCCTGTGCTGGCATTTCTCTCGAGGCTTAGAAACAGGGAGCATTTGGATTTTGGGTGGGTTTTTGGGGGGACTTCACCAATGGGTTGTGCTGCCAGCAGAGCTGTGGAGGCGAACAGGGAGGTAGCCCAGCTGGGCACTGGTGCCAGCTCAGGATGCCCATCCTGGGCATCGTTACCACCCTCATTAGCAAAGCTGGAGGTAAGAGGGTCCTGATGCTCACCGGGAGGGTGGTGGCAGCGATATCGGCACAGCACCTGAGGGCTGCGCTTGAATTATGTTGTTCTGAGGCACTGGCACAGCACTGGGGATGCGGGGACCGGGGATGCTCAGGGTGCGGGGACCAGGGATGCTTGGGGTATGGGGACCAAGGATGTTCGGGATGTGGGGACCGGGGATGCTCGGGGTGCAGGGAACATGGATGCTTGGGGTATGGGGATCAGGGATGCTCAGGATGCGGGGACCGGGGATGCTTGGGGTGCAGGGACCAGGGATGCTTGGGGTGCAGGGAACAGGGATGCTCAGGGTGTGGGGACCAGAGATGCTTGGGATATGGGGACCAAGGATGTTCGGGATGTGGGGACCGGGGATGCTCGGGGTGCAGGGAACAGGGATACTCAGAGTGCGGGGACCAGGGATGCTCGGGGTGCAGCGACCAGGGATGCTTGGGGTACAGGGACCAAGGATGTTCGGGATGCAGGGACTGGGGATGTTTGGGATGCAACCCCAGCCCCAGCAGCATCCCGGAGCTGTAACCTCGGGCTGAGCTGTGCCATACGGGTGCAAGCCAGGCGGGCTCGGGGACTTTCTTGGTGCTCGGGCGGATCCCTGTGACTACGTGCAAACTAGTGTTTTTGTCAGCAGCATATAATTTTGCTGGAAAGGGGATGATTCTGCAAGGCAGGCAGAAGGGACGTCCTCGTTGTGCAGGGGTGTCCTCTCGGCTCTACATTGGGAGGATGCTAAAGGAAAGGCTGCTAAAATATTTCTGGTGTTCACAAAGTGGTATTTCTCCTCCCCGGCATTCCCAGAGGTGTTGGGGGAGAAAAATCGCCCTCCTCTGCTCTCCCAAAATCTCAGCCTGGGGCGGAAATGTGCATCCAAGTGGTGGGGTGAGGGCTTTTGGGTTGCTGGGGGAATACTGAGGGAAAATTGCTCCCATCCTGCAGTATTTGCTGCCCCGGCACAGCTGCTCGGAGCAGCCGCAGGGGCTCAGCGCCCGTCCCGGCAGGCACCTGGCGGGCACGAGGCTTGGCTGGGACGGCGCTTTACAAGTTGTCGGAGCGTGAAAGGGTTTGGTGCCCGGCAGCGCCACCGGCATACCCCGAATCCATCTGGGTCCTGCACCGTGGTGCCTGTCCCACCACCGGGGTGGCGGGGCAGGTCGGTCCCGCAGACACCAAGAGTCCCGGTTGCTCTGGCATGTGCCCATCGCGTGTTTTCTGTGCTCAAGCCTTTGATGCTCGCGGGTTGGTGCCCATTCGTGCGTGTCCCCATCACCTCGGGGACACTCTCAGGGGAGGTCATTTACCAGCGGTGGGGATTTGACACCATGGTTAGCCAAACCAGGAGGGTCTGCCCTGACGGAGTGGGGGTGCTCAGTTGTTTTTTTCTCCCTGGAGGCCAAAAAAAAATAAAAATAAAGTCAATCCGGGCACTTTCCCAGCTTGTGGCTGCCATGGCTCTGCCCAGCGCAGCGTAGGGGAGTCCAGGGGTGCCACAGCCACGTCGCCACCGCGCTGAGCTGGAAACCCTGTGCGGGCTGCCGGGTTGTCTTTAGATGCGACTGCTGGGTTAACGACCTTTGATAATTGCCGTGCCTAGTTGCGAAGCCCCATGGGGGGGGGATGCGGGAGCATCTGAGCTGAAGCCGGGCCAAATCGCCCGAGGGATGGGTGACGCTGCTGGGTGGGCGATGCGCTCCTGCTCCCTGGGGGTTATGGGGGCACCGGGGCGCTGTGTCAGAGCAGCATGGAGAAGCGGCCCCTGTTTTTCCCCGGAGCACGGAGGGTTTGGGAGGAGGCCACGGCCGGGGTGGCGAGGGCTCTCACCCAGCCCCT